GGAAGAAGTAAAATTGTCATGATTTGCAGATGACATATTTTATGTAGAAGACCCCAAAATTCCACCAAAACACTCCTAGAATTAATTAATAACCAAATTCAGTAATGAACCAGGTTGCAAAATAAACACAAAACTCAATACCATTCTTGCACACCAGTAACAAACTCACTGGGAGAGACATTAGAAAAATCGTTCCAATAACATCAAGAAAAATTAAATACTTAGGAATTAACCTAAACAAGGAAGTTAAGGACCTCTACAATGAAAGCTATAATACTCTGAAAAAGGACATTGAAGAGCGTATCAGAAAATGAAATGGTATCCTCTGTTCCTGGATAGGCAGAACTAATATTTTCAAAATGGCCATACTTCTAATGATGATATACAGATTTAATGCAATCTCAATCAAAATACCAACAACATTGCTCACAGAACTTGAGAAAACAATTCTAAAATTTATACAGGTGTCTTCTCTCATTGCTGGGACAAAATACCTGATGCCCAAAATTAAGGAAGAAAAGGTTTATTTCGCTTACAGTTTGTGGAGGTTTCAGTCCATACTTGGCAGGTTACAAGGCATTGTGGCACATGGCAGAGGGCTACAGCTCATGGCCGCAGAACACAGCAAAAGCAGCAAGCACTAAAGGGAGGGATGGCCAGAAGCAGCCTCTTTCTCTCCCTTACAAATGCAAACTATCCACCCCAGGGCGGGTGTAGCTCTCACACCCATAATCAATCAAACTCTAAAAGCCTGCCCCATGACCGCATGAAGCTTTGCGGGGACACACAGACACAAACCATAACAACGGGATGAGAAGAGACCTAGAATAACAGAAACAATCTTGCACAAGAACAAAACGAGAGGCATCACAATGCCAAGTTTCAAGTTATCTTACAAAGTTACAGTGATTTTTTAAAAGCATGGTACAAGGGGCTGGGGGTTTAGCTCAGTGGCATAAGCGCCTGCCTGGCAAGCGCAAGGTCGTTAGTTCGATCCCCGGTACCGGAACAAATAAAAAAATAAAAGCATGGTACAGGACAGAAACAAATGTGGATCAACGAAACAGAATAGTGGATTCAGAAACAACCCCAGGCACAGTCAGCTATCTGATCTTGGCCAAAAACATATGCTAGAGAAAAGACAGCCTCTTTACCAAATAGTGCCGGAAAAATTGACTCTCCATACGCAGAAGGTGGAATCTAGACCCATATATCTCACCATGTACTAAACTAAAATCAAAATGGATCAAAGATCTCAATGTGAAACACTTAATCTCTTTAAAATAAAGTAGGTGCTGGGCGAGGTGGTGCATGCCTGTAATCCCAGCACTCAGGAGGTTGAGGCAGGATGATCATTATGAGTTCAAGACCAGCCTGAGCTACAAAGTGAGCTCAGGGCCAGCTTAAACTGCATAGTGAGACCCTGCCTCAAAAAGACAAAAAAAAAAAACAAAAAAAGAAAAAAAAACATAAAATAAGGTAGGTAAAACTCTCAAAAACATAGACATAGGCAAGGATTTTCTGAAAGAAACCCAAATTACAAGAAGTAGCACCAAAAATCAACAAATACAATTGTAACAAATTTAAAAGCTTCTTCACAGCAAAGAGAACAACCAACAGACCTAAGAGACAACTTACAGAACAGGAAAATTTTTAGCCAGCTTCTCTTCAGAGGACTAATATCTAGAACATATAAAGAATGAAAAAATAACCCCTCCAAAATAAAGGACCCAATCAAAACTAAGCAGTTGAAAAGGACACTTCGCAAAAAAAGAACTGGCCAATAAATATATGAAAAACTGTTTGGCATCTTCAGGTATTAGAGAAATGCAAATTAAAACAACACTGAGATTCCATCTTATTCCCAAAAGAATGGCCCTTATCAAGAAATCAAATAATAACAAATGTTGGTGGGGCTTCAGCCCGAAGGAATCCTGCTACAAGGGGCTGGGGATTTAGCTCAGCAACACAGCACCTGCCTGGCAAGTGCAAGGTCATGAGTTCGATTCCCAGTACTGGAAAAAAAAAAAAGGAATCCTGCTACATTTTGGATGGGAATGTATAAGAACTGTGGAAGTACTGGGCAGGCTGCGAATGAGGGAACTCACTATAGTGTGCTCCTTGTGGCATGTCTGTCCTTAAATGTCCAGATCTTGAGGAAACCTGCCAGAACTGCTACATCCAGGATCCCACGGCTTAGGTTGAGATCAAGTTGAGGCCATCCTATTGAAAGCCTCATTTTCATGAGCAGTCCTTGCACAGGGCTTTGGGTGCTGCTCTGCACTTGTGTCCAGAATCTTGTAATTAACAAGCCACGCCTACTTCCCCAGCCAACTTTGCCTCGCCCTAATCTCCTATCTCATGAGAAATGGGTGATTCAAAAAGAAAAGAATGCTTTGAGTTTTGGCCACAAAGTTCCATAGAACTTTGCTACTATTTTTGCTTGTCTTGACTAATTCTTTGTTCAGGACAGAAAGAACCTAGAAACCACCTCCAGAAGGAGACTCCAGTACCCCAAAACCTGGTGAAAGTTTCACTGCAACTTTGATCAGATGTACCATGTCCCCTGGTCGTGCTCCAGGAGGATGAGCGGCTGAGCAGGAGGCACTTTGCCCTGGTTCCCAGACTAAACCAGCATTATCTGGGAAGTCTGCAGAAAACAAAACACGTCCTCTGAATTTCCACACGCACAGCCGAGGCCCTGCTGTCAGGGCACAGGCTGCAGGCTGGAGACAGCAGGGAGCTGCTGCCCGCCATGCGTTGGTTGCATTGTAACTCTCCTCCAGGGGGCACCACGCGAGAGGCCTTGGTGCCTCTGTGACCATGTCCTGTCATGCGGAGAAAGAGGGCTGAATGGTTGTTTCTGTGAATCAAGGGAGCAGGCTGTGCCTCTGAGTCACTGTGACCACACAGTACACCCAAGGTTCCTGTCAGAATCTTCAGGATGGTTCTTAAATCTCAGAATGAAAAGTGGCCCTGAGGATACTTAGGCAGCCAGCTACCTCCTGGCAAGGACAAGAACACTTTTTTTTTTATTGGACAGAGTCTGAGCTGTCCAGGAAGGATTTGGACTTACCATCCGCCTGCCTCAGCCTCCCTCAGTGCTGGGATTAGAGGCGTGTACTACTATGCCCGGCTCACTTTGGACTTTTTATTAACTGTCTCCCAAAGAGCTGGGAGTGTAGCAAGGGACTGAGTCTTGCCTAGCATTTGAGGCCCTGAGTTCCATCCCAGCAATGCAAAAACCAAAACACCTGTAACCATCTCTCCTTCGTTGCTAGCTCCCTGCTGCCGATTATGAGCAGGTTGCCGAGCGCTGGCTTTCCTAAGGCACTATGCCCGCAGTGTTTCCTCTCCTGCTTTAGGAGCATGTAGTCCTCCCAGAAACAACAAAGGACAGGAGGAGCCCTGTGCCTGGTCCTCCAGGTTGGTCACCCTGCCTCACAACGGTGCCACTTCCTTCTGCCCAGGGCCATGCTGTTTGTACCACACTGTGCCGAAGTGTCACTGGCATGTCTATGGCTTGTCTTTTGCTGCTGTGGGAAAAAAGAAATAGCTGTTCTGTTTATCCTGTCTCTCAGCTTCAACTATAAAGTAAATGAGACTCCTCTGACCCTCACTGGGATTTGAAAATACGGTACTCCTAAACTGGGTGAGGTGGAGCATGCCTGTAATCCCAGCACCCGGGAGACTGAGGCGGGGGACTGCTGTGAGTTCGAGATTAGTCTGGGTTACATAGTGAGACCCTGCCTCAAAAAATCCCACACATCTTTTTCTCGCTTTCCTTCATGGGCTCTCTTCTCCCAGTTTTGTTTTTTCTCTCCCTTTCTCTCTCTCTCTCTCTCTCTTTCTCTCTCTCTCACACACATACACACACACACACACACACACACACACACACACACACATGCACGCACACCAGGCCTCTTTCCCACACCTTTCTCTTTAGTTTCTACTGGGACACGTTTGCAGCACGAACTGTTTACCCCATCTTAGGGAATAATCACATGTACTTAACACATCTGCATTCCTTTTATTCCCCTCCCCCTTACTCCATCTCTTGACTCCCTTCCCATTTGCAAAAGGTCTATCTCCCTGAGGGGCTGGGGATTTAGCTCAGCGGCGCAGCGCCTGCCTGGCAAGCGCAAGATCGTGAGTTCGATTCCCAGTACCAGAAAAAAGACAAACAAACAAACAAAAAGGTCTATCTCCCTGTTTCCTACACTCTCATTTTGCTCTTTACTTACATTCTGGGTTTCTCATACACAGAAGTCGTGCAATATTGAAGCCTGTGTTTCTGATTTATTTCACTTAATGCTATGGTTTTCAGGAGCATCATCCATTTCCCTACAAATGGCTCAGGTTTACCCTTCTTTATGGCAGAGTAGTACTCCACTGTGTGTACATCCTGTATTTCAGGGTTTTTTGTTTATTTGTTTGTTTGTTTGTTTTGTCTTTTTGAGACAGGGTCTCGCGATGCAGTTCAGGCTGGCCTTGAGCTCACTTTATAGCCTAGGCTGGTCTTGAACTCACAAAGACCCTCCTGGCTCAGCCTCCTAAGTGCTTAGATTATAGACATGTGCCACCATGCCCAGCTACATCCTGTATTTCTTGCCCTTTCCCGTGTGAGGTTTTCTACCTTTTGTCCTCCACTACCTTCTCTGTTTTTCACACTTTTGTTCCACTTGGCTCCCTCAGAATGTGTTGTCTGTGGGCAATGCACATCAGCTCTGAGCTGGGCACCCTTGGTTAAACAAGAGAGTGTTTCATACAGTGACTCAGCCCTGGGAGCGGGGAAAGTGTTCTAGCACATCGGCAGCTGTTTGTTCTCTGGAACACTAATTAAAATAAGGACTGTGTCTTGTGTCTTGCGGGGCTTAGTGAGGACTGCTGTGTATGGGTCGGTACTGACCACACATGGACCTCACCCCCACGAGAAGCTGGGTGATGCAGCTCGTGGAAACCTGGGTGCTTAAGCAGAAGAGTGTGTCCCCAGGCACCAGTTACACAGACTACAGGAAAAGGCCCCTGCCTCTTCTCCCAGGGGATCCTGCTTTCTTGTTTCGGGATTCAAGCTGAGCGTGAGTCTCCTTGGCTCCCTTCCATGGTGACCTCTTAAGCCTTACTTCTCTCAAGAATTTCTGGAGGAGAAAAAATGAACACAATACAGTTATTATGTCGGTTCACTTTAGAACAAGAAAAATCCCCCCTCAAGGGAAAACCCCAAAGCTTAAGACCTGATACTGTGGGCAGGTAAAGGCCTGCCGTGATGTCAGGCTGCTGGGATTGGCTGCCCTGAGTGGAGCATGACTTAGCTTGGAGAACTTGGTGCTGAGTCTGAACACTTGGGATGCCCCAAAATTCATAAGTAGAAACCTGGTCCTTCATGGGATGGTTTTAGGATGTGGGGTTTTGGGAGGTGACTCAGGCATGAGGGTGGATCCCTGGGAGTGGGGTTACTGTCCCTATGCAAGGAACCCCGGGGCTTGTCTTCCCCTCCTCCAGGCGAGGATGCCACAAGATCGTTCCCTCTGTGAAGAAGACAGGAAACCCTCCCCACACGGAACCTGCAAGCTGCTGGACCCCTGACTGTGGACTTCCGGCCTCCAGAACTTATGCAATTAAAGTGTGTTGTTCACAAATGACTGTGCATAAGGTAACTCGTTAGAGCTGCCCGAACAGACCAGGACACTTAGCTAGGCACATACCCTCCCTGTTCTAGACCTCTTGTGCAGCGATAAAGCAAACTAAAATATAAACAAAAAAGCTCTAAGTGGCAGCCACAACAGAAGTTCATTTTCTTACACTTCTAGAGACCAGAAACCCAGGCCAAGGTGTCAGGCCGTTGGTTTTTGGGCTGTGCTTTTTTCTTCTGGATATCTGGATGGCTGCTTCCCACTCATCCTCACATGGCTTCTCCTCTGTGCAGTACACGGAGTGCAGGGGGGACCTCGAGTGTCTTCCTCCCCATAGGTGGACACCAGTCCTCTCAGAGGAGGGCTCCACCATTCTGACCCAGACAGACCCTGAGTACCTTCCAAAGACCCCACCTCCGAGCACAGTCACCTTGGGACTTAGGGCTTTGACTCCTGAGCAGGAGAGGGACCATGGTTCAGGTCAGAACACTGGCTAAGGCCAGGGGACCTCTTTTCCAAAGGAAGAAAGTGCTTCTTCCAAGCAAGTGGGCCTTTAGGAACCATGAGATAAAACAGAAGGTGCCACCAGGCCCAACCAGGACAGGAGCACTTGTTCTCGAGGTGTCCTAACACTAGTGGTATATCCAAAGCCACAGCATGCCTCCTCCTGAAGCACATTCATGCAAATTCTATCACACACACACACACACACACACACACACACATACAATTTCCTCATTCCTTCCTGTCCACCTTGGCTCCCACAGGTCCCAGTGAAATCATCCCCACTCCACAGCCAGAATCCCATCTCTACCTTCTTCTGCAGCGCCTCATACTGCTGCTTCAGTTGGAAAATCTCCTCTTCCAGCTTCAAAGCCTGGCTCCTCAGCTCCTCTGCAAGCTCTGTGCCTTCTTTGTGCTTCAGTTCCTTCAACTTCTCATGGAGACTGAACACATCCCAGCCGAGGGACAGGAGCGTCAAAGCGCCACTCTTCAGTAGAGCCTTTCGCAACATGGCCAGGGCTGTGTCCTTAAAGGTCTTGTGCACATGTCTGCCAACTGGACCTGACACTCGGCCAGTGGTTCGAAGATGTTTGGCTGCAGGAACCAGGTGTGGGTGGGCTTTAGGCACGAATATGATTCCTGATAACCTCAAAAGCGCTCCCAGACTTGTACAAAACCTCGCCAGAAGCTCTGACATAAGACCCCGTCTGTCCTCCAGTGTTCTCTTGGAGTGTCTTGTCACTAGGGGGCACTAGGTGGCTGGACTGAGTGCGGGTGTTTTCAGTGTGAGAGTTTTCCAACGAGTCTGTCACAATATTAATGACGGCAGCTGTTAACCCTATGCCTTGGCCAGCACTTGTAAGGATCAGGCTTCCTCCTGCTGTTACAGGAACCAGGGCTAAACCCAACAGGCTCAAGACTCCAGAGACGACAGTGATGGAGTTAGCCACCACGCTGGTCTTGGTGAATTTTTGGGGGTTGTATCGGTGTCATCTGCAAGGGCACGGAGCTTTGCAATGACCACTTCTTGCTTCTGTTTCCATGTGGGAAACTCTTCCAGAAATTTTATTTCTTCAGCAGACAGCTCTCCCTCATCTTGTAGTCCCAAGCCTGCACCCAGGGGCATGTCATCCTCCTCCCTGTAGGAATGAGAGAAATAAGGATTTGGTTTCAGCCTCTCAGGTGGAAAAGCCCAACTCTTCCACTGGCCCATATGGCTTCTGGCTGTTTTGTTAACACCAACTTCGAACCCCACCTGAACTCCGCTACAATGTCCCATGAAAATCCCTAGAATGTCACTAAGAAGTTCAACCTTCTCAGGAAGCTTCTGGTTCCTCAAATAGAGAAAGGTGTAATGACAGTGGCATGTGAACAGGACCATGTGAGGAACCTCAATTCTGTCCAAAGACAAGGGTCAGACAGATTCGTCCCAAGGGATGATTTGTCCCAGAGGAACAAGAGCACCACTGAGGAGGAGAACAGTGAGGAAATGATAAGATCATGCACAAGAGAAAGAGCCTAGCTGGGGAAAGGAACATGGGACCCATGGGGAGAGACAACTGGGAAACACAGAAGGAAGATGAGCCAGGTGTTGAGCAGGGGCTGGTGTTCCTACAAGTAGAGGTGAGTCAGGGGAGGATGGGGCCAGATTGTATAAAACCTTCCACTGGATGACCTGGGCTTTGGCTCCCTGGGCTGTGCCTTCCTTTCTCTGAAGAGTTGCACATTGCAAGTCGAGATGAAATCTGACTCACGTTCTGGATTTTCCTGGGCACTTGGCCACCTTCCTGTGGCACAACAGATGGGGTTGTTCCTTCATAGTAGGAGCTTGGAACTCAGGGCCCCTCCCTGCTTTCCCCTAGCATTTCTCAGGATGGCGTGTGAAGGGGTCTCTGCCAACCCAGTGAGGCTTGGCCTTCACAGCATAGCAGTGTCGGGAAGACCAAAGCTGCTTCTTTAGGGCACATTCTACTGCCAAGTGACACTTGTTTCCTATAGGGCGAGTGGCAGACACTGGTGACACACAGATGTCCCAGCCTATAGCAGGAAAGCAGAGTTTGAAGGGGCCTGGAGGGGATCTGAGTCACCATCTTTACCTGTCAGTGGAGGGACCCAAAGGTGAAAGGTGAAACACCCGGAAGGACACGATGGAGCTTTGACAGAGGAACAGCCTCACAGTGTCCAGTGTATTCTGCTGCTCCTCTCCTGTGCTGCTGATATCAGGGTCCTCAGTGAAGGACAGTCATGTCTTTAGTCCTTTACAAAAACTGGCATAGTTCTGCTTATAATCGATGAACATTCTCGCATAGAAATCATGTCTAGATTGCTCATGACACCTAAAACAATGTAAATGCCACATAAATAGTTGGGTCTAGCTGGGTGTGGTGACACATGCCTGTAATCCTAGCACTTGGGAGGCTGAGGCAGGAGGATCTTTGCAAGTTTGAGGCCAGGCTGGGCTACAAAGTGAGTTCAAGACCAGCCTGAACTGCATAATGAGACCCTGTCTCAAAAAAACAAACAAAAAAAATAGTTGGGCCAAAGTATATAGCGCATGATCTGCACTGAGTTGTGTCACAAATGTAGAACAGGAGGTACTGACTGCTGAGCATATATAGATATATAAATATATTTATCTTTTAATAAATCTGTTTTTCTCGCCATATACATACCAATACACAATTCCTCATTGAAAAAGGTTAAAAATCAACTACCATGAAAATCCTTTAGTTCAATAAATTAATAAATACAAGCCCAATTATCAGTTCAAGAGCAGATGTAAATCAGTCCACAGAGCAGAAGGTCCCTGGGGCTGCAGGAGACAGGGGCAGTGTGAAGGCAAGGAAGTTGGCTTTGTGAGGAGCCCTGAATGGTACAGAGGTCACAGTCTGGCCCAGCCTGATCCCTCTGTAGCCTCCAGGTAAGTAAGAACAGAGAGAAAGAGCAAGGAGCAGTGTCGCTTCAAGCACCAAATATGCCCCTGTGCATTTGCTCTAAAACTCTATTTTGAGATGGTTCCTAGCTAAGAGAAACTTGGCTTTATGGGTTTCTTAATTAAATCAAATAGTTGCTGAGCATGGTGGCCCACGCCTGTAATCGCAGAACTTGGGAAGCTGAAGCAGGAGGACGGTTGTGAGTTCAAGATCAGCCTGGGCTACAAAGTGAGCTCAAGGCCAGCCTGAACTGCATAATGAGACCCTGTCTCAAAAAGACAAAAAAAAAGAAAAAAAAAGAAAAAAAAAATCAAACCAAATATCTCAAGTGGGGACACCTGTGCCCTGGGAACCCCTGTATTAGGCAGCCATGTCTCCTTGCTTAAGATAAGACCATAATGTAGTTCTGAAACATAATGCACGGGTAGTTCACTAATTCATCATGTTAGCAATCTCTTGCTGCTGGTTGCTGCTAGTGGGCCATCTGCTGGTTAATGGACTCTTGGCCTTAAATTTGTTCATTTGTAGATGCTAAAGAGCTTCTTTGGTGGTATGTGAGCTGAAAGGGATTCCTCCTTTCTTTGGTTTTGGTGTGAGGGGTTGGGCGTGATTGGGCTGTTTATATCCTAGGAGTCCTATATACACAATGCCATGGAAATGACTAAAACTTGACTTGCTCTTTAAAATATTTATTAAGCCTCGTGGAGTATCCCCTCCTCCAGAGAACCTATGTTCATGTGCATAACAATTATAAAAAAACAATGAGAAGACAAGACCTGTTCACAGTGAATGCTATTGGAGCCCATTTATTCCTAATTCGTGAGAATGTCTGCAGCCCTTTTGTTAAGGACAAATTTCTGGCTTTCCCTTTCCCAACCAACCCTGGCCTTGCACTCTTACCAAACTTGGCTGTCTGGCTGCCTCTCAAGCTTCACGTCCACGTCTCCAGGAACCACATGGTTTTCTAGTTGAAAACATGGAAAACAGTTACTGTACATGTCATAAAATCTTATGAAGTCCAAATGCAGAGATTTGAGATAATGTAGAAGTCACAGTGAAACACATAATGCACTAAGTATTTGCAAACTGTTGTTTTAAAATTTCATGTTGAGGTATAGCTCATATATAGTAAATGAAGGTTTCACCTCAATAAATTTTAACACCCATATTGCAGGGTAACAGAATATGCGACCCCTAAATATGCCACTTTGGTATGAGGGTTATTTTGAGCTGAGAGCAAATGAGAAGTAGATATAAGAGTCTCAACTTCAGGATCCCCAAGGGAGGCTGAGACCAAGGATATATATTGTCATATTGCATTACTAATGGGTGGGTAGTACACACAGTGTGGAAACGCTGGGTGAAGGCTGATTCATGTTCCAGGTGGGACAGAACTGATTCACAGAAGATATCAGACTACTCACAACAGTGCTCAATTTCAAACTTTTTGAAATGGAAATTTCAAATTTCCATTTAATATTTTTGGGACAAAGTTCACCATAGGAAACTGAAATCACAAAAGCAAAAGTGGAAATATGGGGGAAGAGCTCTATACACAAAAATCACTGCGCAGATGGGGATTTACCTCCACCCTGCTAGTAACACTTACCCTACCCCGGGCAAGCAGGACTCCCGACTTCTGTAATCTTTGATTAATTTGCTTATTCTCAAACTCCATATAAATGCAGTCATTGGCTTGGCCTTTTTACCTCCAGATAATGTCTTCAAAATTCACTTGTGTTGTTGTGGGTATTAGTGGCTTTAAAATTATTGATGTGTAACATTTAATAAATACATTTCAAATGGGTTATATTCGAGATTCCTCTATCAGCGAGTTTGGGTTGTGTCAAGACATTGGCTATTGTGAATAAATTGACTTTAATGATTAAATGTTCTTTTCACATAACATTGTACACCAGTAGATTGTACAAATTATATTATTTCTGATTTTGTGATTTGTAATGTTAAGTAAAAGTCATAGAAGGCCATGGTTTTGGGCTAAGCTCCTACACTTGGCTCCAACACACCAGATTAAAAGCCAAGATGGAGTCACTCATACTAAAGTTTCCAATTAAATTTAAACTGTCTCCTGATTTTGGAGGAAGGAGGGAGGGAGGGAGAAAGAGAAAGAGGGAAGGAGAAAGCAGAGAACAGCCAGTTCCCACACAGACAAATTTTATTCAGCTTAATAGTAAAGATCCTGTTGCCTTAATCCTTACCCAGAAGGTCACCAGAAGTAACCATATGTTAACTGGTTATTTTCCTGTCATCCTGCCTTCCAAGGAGAGTGACTGGGAAGTGACCCATTGCTCTCTCTGCTCTGTTTCTGCTTTCTTCAGCCCTTCCCTATCTGTATAGCCAAACTCCTGCTCTCAGCTCATTGGAATACTTGTTCCATTTAATGGAAGGAAGCATCACCCAATTCCAGAACAAAAAATAAAAGCATAATTTCTTTAAATTTATCAGGACTTTTGAAAAAAATTCTGTTTGGTCCTCTTATGTATTCTTGGTATAGAGCTCATAAACCCATCTTAAGTGATAGAATCACTAAAGGTGAAAAGATTTTCTTGTTATTCATAATAAATTCTTTCCACAACCACCCAAAGAAAGTGACTTGTATAAAGGCTGTAAGGATAGTAAGGGGAGAGGGCTTATTGGATTAATCAACCCTGATTGGAGCATAGGAATTTTAACTCCACCCCTCACTTCCAAGGACTGAGATCGGCTGAAGAGTGCCTTAATCACTAGTGGCTGAGGACTATGTCAATCATACCTATGTAATGAACCCTCCATGAAAATCTAACAAGACCAGGCCAGGAGAGTGTCAGAGTCACTGAAACATGGCTGTACCTAGATAGCACCACTGCCAGAGAGAGCATGGAAGCTCTAATGAACCAAAATAAGGTGTTTCCTAGGGTTGTGAGAGCCATTCTTGCAATTATGGAACCTCAGGAGAAGGCTGTGGAACCATCCATTCATAGTTATGTTGTCACAAGTCCAGGGATTGTGGCCTAGTGACTGGCGTCTACAGTGGGAGAGTCTTGCGGACCTAGCTATCCCCAGACAGTGTCAGAACTGAGTCAAGTTACAGGGCAGCCACTGGTTCCCAATGAGAAGTGGAGAATTACTGGGTGTGGGCAATAAAACCAAACACCCCAGGGATGTTGGAAAGACCTGGTAGACCTGAACTCGAGTGGAGTGGTTGGAGAGTGAAGATGCAAGGATTTTCTTTACTTTTTGAGAGCTGCAGAGCACTATCTGAACATCCATAGGGGGCCTGAAATCCATCCCAGGGTCTACTTGCCTAGCATTGAGACCTGCAGTCAGTGATGGAGGAGGCACTGGGTCTACCTAGAGAAAAGACGCTTTGATTGACCGACTGATTGATTGATCAGTTATACAAAGATCTCATCCCTTGCAGAGTATGAGTCCACAGTGCTGTGTCCACTTTCAGGAGAGGGGTGTTTTCTGACATGTCCCTTGGCATTGCCAGGGCTTGAATGTGGTTTGTCTCCTCTAAAACTCATGCTGGAGTATAGTCTCCATTGCGAGGTATTGAGAAGGTGAACACTGAAACGATGTGTCCCTGAGAGCTGAGGCCATTGGGAGGTGGTTAGGGTTTGATAATATCATTGGGATGGGGCTCCATGATTGAGTCTTGACTGCTTTATGAGAGAGATGAGGAGATCTAGACAGATGTGCTCCCTGCCTCTCGCCGTGTGGTGGTTTGTGTCATCTTGGGACTGTGCTGGTAATAAAGGCATCTTGGGATAGTCCCTTCTTGGAACTCAAGAACTATGACTCCAGATAAGCTCTCTTTTCTTTAAAACTTCCCCAGTGTGTGGCACTGTGCTGATAGGCACAGGAATTGAACTAACACAGGCTCCAGGCGGGCCAGCAGTGGCCCTGTCCTACTTTAAAACTGATCATTCTGGCTGAAAAATAGTCTGGATATTCAAGAAACATTTCCATTCCTTACTGTGAAGATGGTGCACCATGCCACTGCTGCCTGAAATTGTGGTGAGTGTTTAAATTTTTAAAATCTTATTACTGTAAAAGAAACATGGCTGGGAAAGATGGCAGAAGTGTGTGTGAAGCATTGGGAAGTATTTTGACTATTTTTCAGGATATTAATATCAATGTGTCTTTTACTGTAATAATTTTCTGTTATTTAGGTATTCCCCATACGTTTTGATCACCAGTTGCTGATATGGCAACTTCTGTTGAATACTGACATTACCATATATCCTCATCTGTTTGAGTCACTACACCTGGCACAGTATAACTTATGGCTCTTCTCCAAAGTGAAAATGAAATGATGAAAAGTAAATTTCAGAATCAAATCAGTACACTGAAGTGTTGAGAAGCTCAACTGAAGACACTCACAGAAGACTTCCAGACCTGCTTCAGAAAGTGACCAGAATTACAGGATAAGTGCATTGGAAGAGAAGGAGACTGTTTTGAGAAGATTCATGGCATTGTGTCTTTTACTTAATAATTTTTAAAAATTGAAGTAATCACCATGTGTACTGACCACACCTTCTATTTCTGTGATCAAGTGTGGGTAAGGCTTTCTCCCCACTGACGAACAGCTGTCTAAGAGACATCAACTGAGTTTCCTGTAACAACTCAGTTCTGACACAGTCTACTTGGAGATAGCATCCGACCCCGCAGGCTCAGAGTGGAGTCCCTTAGGACTGTAACATCGTGGATGCCAATAGCAAATCTAGACCTCTGGGATGTCTGATGAACAGCCCATAAATTGGGATCCGTATCACCCCCTTATCAGTTAATTCACCACAACGGGACACAGAGGAAGAGGAACACTCAGCTTAGGTATACTCGTTTGCTATGAGGGAAATGAGGAAGGAAACAGGTGCACAGGCAAATGGAGGGGTACACAGGGCACAAGGCACCCTTGCGTTCCACCCAGCAGGAACGTCCTTGTGCTAAGCGAGCTCCCTGGAAGCTCTCCAAATCCCAGAACTCAGGGATCTTTACAGAGGCTGCATATCAACTTGATTAGTTAATCATTAACCTTCGGTCCCTCTCCACTTCCCAGAGAACGAGGCCATCAGGTGGAGGTGACAGTTCCAACCTTCTAATTATTCTTTGGTCTTTCTGGTGACCACCCCATCCAGGAGCCCACCACAGAGCTGCCTCCTAGGAATAAAAGATGCTCCCACCTCCCAGTAAATTCCAAGAGTCGAAGAACTCTGTGTCACATGTTCCTGTCATGCTGAGAATTACACATATCCTAGGAATTCTGTTTTGGAAACTGGGCTCAAGGATCAACTATTAGAACAAAACAATCTCCTAGGATCCCTGTTTGCAAGGGTGTCAGAAGCTCTGTCCTAGAAATTGGGAACAGAGATCAGTATGTATCATTCTTATTGTTTCAAAATTGCAAGTGATCAAGCAAGAAGACAAGTTAGGGATATGGGAGTCATTGGAGCAAGCCAGGTGGCAGCTTGGACCAGGTGACCGGAGTGACAAGGAAGTACAGGAACCCACAGATTTCCCTAGTGGATGTGGGGTGTGAGTAGGAGATTCAGGATGACTTCAAGTTCTGGGACCCAGTGGTCACAGCGAAGATCCCTATACTGGGGTGGGAGGGGCCAGGGTCTAAGGCAGGTTATGTGTGACCCCGGCTGTGGTAGAGCTCTGTGTAAGGTAGGTTAAGTGATATAGAGTAGGCACTGGGTAGATGAGTTCCATTCTTCTGGGGATTAAACTTGGGAGCTGTCACTGTAGGAAGCAGTTACAGCCATGGGCTGATTGAGAGCCTTTGGGAAAGACTAACAATAGCAGCATAACTCACTCCAAGTCATGAGTCTGCAACACCCCACAGGCAGAGCTCAGCAAGAGAAGAAAGCAACAACAGATGGAGGAGGCAGACTCACATCTTGGAATCGCAGGAAATGCTCAAATATGAGGGACACATCTTCAGGTGTCCAGTTGTTTTTTTGTGTGTGACTGATATGTGAGATAGCACCTGGGCCATGTGCGTGCCAGGCTACTGGTCTACCACTCACCTACACCCCCAACTCAATCTCATATTTTGCTTTTTACCTCTGGGACAATTTACCTTCCACCTTTTCTCCTACCAATGCAAAAGCATCACTACATTCTGCTTTACCTGGCTGGGAACTGGATGCACAGGAGCTACGACCGTCTTGGCTGACCGGAGCTGTCTCTGTTGTGGCACCATTCAGAGGGGCATCTCTGCTGCTGTCCATGTTCAGACCGGCCAGGTGCCAGCGTGGGAAGGGAAACAGCCCTTCTTGTTAGCCTAGACAGAGCACGGTGAAGTGGATTCAAAGCCTCTCTCTATTGCTTGCCAGTTCTGCAATGTCTAGAAACTTAACCCGCTGCTGAAAGTTCTTTGTTTCTAGGAAATAACCAGGAAAACTGGTACAGTCTCTGTATCTTCACAGTTTCTGAGAGGACAGAACAAGTTTTCTGGAAAGGAAAGCAGTCTGACTGGTTTGGAAGCAAAGGAACTTCTCCTGAGAGAGGCATGGGAAAGGGCAATGTTCCTGCCAGGCTTCCTGCAGAAGGAGCAGGACAGAGCCCCTTCCCAAGCTCAGAGTGCCCAAGTGCCTGGAATAGGAACCCTCTATTTCCCTGGAGACAGTTCTTTTTCCTGAGCCAGGCACCTGCGCCAACCCTTGGGTGCTTCAACCTACTGGGGCCCAGCAGCAGCCCTCCCTCCCCTACCTGCTGTCTCTCCTTCTCCTGGTCCTGAGGGAGAGAAGACCGACTCTCGCCTCTGTCCTCACCTCTGGGAGGCTGTGGTGTCTGGACAGTGGCTGTGAGTGGCAGACTCCTCAGCGACTGCGGCTGGAGCATCTGGGCAGTCTGGGCTTCTGTCCAGGGGGAAAACCAGGGGGCCCTGGTAACAGCAACTGAAAGGGACTCTGAAGCTTGGTTCTGGCTGACGGCTGCAGGCGCAGGAAAGCATGTGTCTTCCAGGAAGTCAGGCTTGCTGAGGAATGACCAGGCTTTTTACTTTCAGTTTTTCTTCTCTCCAGTAGATGCACAGGGAGGTGGGAGAGCAGAAGCAAAGCTGGAAGTCTGCTGGGCCCAGTGGTGCACACCTGCAAGACTTCAACCAATGTTCTCTGTGGTCAGAGGGCTTTATCCAGAACTCATCTGCCAAGGATGCTGTTATAGTTTGTGTCTGGGTGTCCCCCCAAAGCCTCATGCATTCATGGGGCGGGCGTTTAGAGTTTATGATTGATTCATGGTCCAATGTTGGAATTATGGTTGTGAGTGCTACACCTGCCCTGGGGTGGGTACTTTGAATACAATGTAAGGGAGGGAAAGAGGCTGCTTGCCACTGCTCCCCTCTTTTGCTCTTGCTTCTTTTGCTATCTTCTACCGTTATGAACGGTTGTCCTCTGCCATGTGCCACCCTACCTTGGAGCCAGCCGAGTATGGACTGAAACCTCCACAGCTAAATAAATCTTTCCTTCCTTAGTCTTGGGTATCAAGTGTTTTGTCTCAGCAATGAGAGAAAAGTGACAAAGACAAATGCTAACCCTTTTATTGCCATTAGGCAGCCACTACCTTTTCCTCCCTACAAACCAGCAAAGTCATTTGCAAGATGTCTTCGTTATTTTTTGTTGTTGTTGAGGTAAAATATCCGACATCCCAAATTAAGGGAGCAAAGGTTTATTTAGCTCACAGCTTGTGGAGGTTTCAGTGTATAATCAGCTGGCTCTAAGGCAGAGTAGCATGACACAGGGGCAACTGTTTAAGGTGGCAGGAGACAGCAAAGGCAGCAAGAGCAGAAAAGGGGGAGAACAAGCCTGTTTTTTTTTTTTTTTAATATTGTAAGCAAGCTACCCCCCACGGGGGGGGGTGTAGTATTTATACAATTCATGCCCTCCTCTTGTACAGGATGAGGATGTTTATAAAGTAAGGACCCTGGATCCCTGCTGAGTTGCTTAATTAAACTTTTAAACTTCCCAAATTGATATTAAACCAGTTTTTAGATATAAAGACATGCTTATTTTTAATATTTTATAATTTGAACATTTTAATACAGGTTTAATAATCTTTAAGAACCAATATTAAGTCTATCAACATTATATTATATTAGAACCATAACATTTTGTCCCTGGACCCCCAAAGACTCATGCACATCTCCTTATCTAAAAGGCATCTAGTCTGTCTGCAAGAGCTGCCAGAGCCTTGACAGTTTTAGTCTTGCTGAAAAGTCTAAGTCCCAAATCTCCTCTGAGATGTGAAGCAACTCTTACCTGCAAGCCCCAGTGCAAATGAAAGCAAAGTTAAATACTTTTAACATTTAAAAGTGGCACAAGACACACATTTTTATTTTAAAAGTTATAAACAGGGGGATATAAAAAATTGGGAGCAGAGCAAGTCTAAAATCCAGCAGGGTAAACATTAAGTCTTGTAGTTTTATATCTAGCATTTGAAGCAATCTGTGGCAAGTTGTGATCTCCCAAGAGCTTGCATGACTCTACCCCTGTGGTACGTTAGGGGGTTATAGCTCCCACAGTTTCTCTCTGAGGACCACTTTGTCCCTCCTTGGAGCTTTTTTCATATGATCTACTTTTTTGGCTTTTTTAAACTTTTGGGGTCTTTACTGCACCTTTGGTTTTTTATTTATTGCTTTATACACTGCCCTCTCATGGGCACACTGCCTGGCCTCCCAGACCTGCTGAAATTGAAGTGAAAGCCTTTTTTAACCCCATAATGCTTGCATTTTGCATGAACCTAAAGCCACCACCATGTGGATGATGCCAAGGTCTGCTGCCCCCTGGAGCAGTATCCAGGCTTTTTTCTCTCTTGGCTGTAGGGATCAAGTGCCTGGATCGCTAGGCACTCTGAATCCAATTTTCAGGAACAAATTTTCTATCCTGCCACCATTCTGGAACCTCGTGCAGCTGCTGTCATGCTGGGACATGGTGCTCTGCAGCTTTCTTCTCAGGGCAAAGTCTTTTACTTTAGCAATTTTGAGGCTGCAAAGGGTGGAGACTTGCTGCTTTTTGTGATGCCCTTAGGCCATCTTTTTTATTTCATTTTTGTTTCTTCTTAGCAATCGAGATCTCCTCAGCTCTATCTTTGCAGTCCATAGCTTTACTGGAGCTTTTTAACTGGCCAAACTCATGTTTTAAATCATCTTGCTGGACTTTATGTTCTTGATTTTTAACAGAAATCTGGCTAAAAACCTCCAACAGTAGCCATGCCACACCCTCAACATTTGACTGCCTTGAATTTTTTTCTGCCAGATTAATCAGTCCACCAACCTCAATCTCAGTCTCAGACAAAGTCTTTGGACATGAGCAAAATGCAGACAAGCTTTCTGCCAAGCCATAATACACATCATCAGCAGTCCAACAACCAGTGCAGTCCTTTTTCCCAGCAGAAACCTCCTGGATTTGGTGTTTACCTAGGATTTCTATCAGCCTCTGGTCCTCTGAGCTCCGACTAGAATCTCCCATTCAGAACAGCCTAAGGTGTTTTAGCTCTACTCTTTTAGGTGACATCTCTGAATCTTTCAAACACACAAAGTTTCCAATGGCTCTTGAACCACATGGTCAGGTACTGTCCTAGCAACAACCCCACTCCTGATACCAAGTTCTGTCTTGGTTATTTTTTTATTGCTGTTGAGACAAAATACTCAACACCCCAAATTAAGGGAGGAAAAGTTTATTTAGCTCACTGTTTGTGGAGGTTTTAGTCTATGATCAGCTGGCTCCAAGGCAAGGTGGTATGGCACAGGGCAACAGTTTAAGGTGGCAGGAGACAGCAAAAGTAGTAAGAGCAAAAAGGAGGTGACCAAGTCTCTTTTTTCCCTTATATTGTAAGCAGGCTATTTCCCCCAAGGGGGCATGTGTAACCCTCACACAATCTCCATACCCTCCTCTTGTACAGGATGAAGATATTTATCAAGTAAGGACCCTGGATCCCTGCTGAGTTGCTTAATTAAACTTCTCAGGGGCTGGGGATTTAGCTCAGCGGCAAAAGCGCCTGCCTGGCAAGCGCAAGGTCGTGAGTTCGGTTCCCGGTACCAGAGAAAAACCAAAAAACAAAAACAATAAACTTCTCAACTTCTCAAGTTGACACAATGTATTGACCATTACACAAGGGATGATGAGGTCATTTTCATAACTGCTGGAAATGTCATTAGGGGCCCCTTTAGTTTGCTGATTGTTAGTGTTGTGTTATCTATATTTTTAGGCTGATGACTAAAATCTAAATTTGGCAACAAACTCTTAATAAGGTTGTGCAGCAAGTCCAAGTTGCAACTGGACATGAATCATTGGAAACTACTGGATTTTGTTGTAAATCATTGAGGACTAAAGAAACATTATCTGAGTTATCTAGAATACATTCACAACATTTTGTTTTAACAATAGCATAGGTGATCATTAGCTTGAGTAGGAGTTGGAGAAGTCTGAAAGATAGAAACCTTATAAACATGTTAAAAAACAAAAAGGGGTCAAATTATATTAACCACTCTCTGCCCAGAGGTATTTACTCAAATACAATAGGTAGAAATTAAAAGTATATAGACTTCTTCATGTTTTGTTAATAAGAAATCTAACTTTTAGTTTATAATAATAGTTAAGAAAAATTAAATATCCTTATTTTATGTAAACAATGGACCATTCAAACTCATTACTGGAATTGGCGTCTACTTTGTAGATTTAAAGTTCTTTGTGACAACTGGCTCTAGATAACAAACATATAAACCTGAACAAAGTGTTAGTTTTCACTGTAAAAGCACTAATGTCTATTAGGTAGATAATATTGTCATTTTTATCTTATAAGCAGACCTTTGTAAAAAAAAAAAAAAAAAGCCAAATTTTTACCCAAGGGATACTTTAACATACACCAAAGTAATATAATGACAATGCACTAGTGCGGGTTGAAGGACACCTTTTGGAAAAGGTAGTGGGGCTGAGAGTTTAGATTTTTTATGGCTGTAGGTTAAAAAGTTACAGGTGTAGCTAGATACTGTTAACAACTGATGTATTGTTTGAAGATTCTTTGTATCTAGTTTAGCTCTGTTTATATTTCTACTAATTACTTTACTTTGGGAGTATGTTACCAGGCTTTGGGGAGCTGGAATCTCCTTTCAGAGTTTGGGCCAAGTAAAAGTAGGAAAAAAGGGAGAAAACCAAAATATACCCTACAGTGTAGTTTGGGCTACCATGAAGAGACACAATAACCCACACTACAGTAGCAAATGCTTAATGACGATGGTCCCTCTTTTATATTTTCCATGCCAGTGTCATGTCTTGGTAATCCTATCAAAATTCTGCTCAAGTTCTCATGAGAAGCCCACATGGAGGGCTATGGGAATGGTTCTGTGCACATGTCTGGAGATTTCATCATACCTGCTTTCCCACCTATTATTAGACAAACCTCATCTTCTTGTCTCAGTTATACTTTCTTGCTGGGTGTGTAAGACTAAGTCAAAGTAAGAAATTATATATATTATATATATATATATATATATATGTATACATCTATGTGTGTGTGTGTGTGTGTGTGTGTGTGTGTCAGTTCAAGTTTTTCAGGGGTTGCTTTTGGGCTGTGTGAGGTATCCCTTAGCTCCTCTCATTTTTTCTCTATCAGGGTATTATCTGCTAGAATGGGTCACAATCTTGCTTGACCATATGGCTTCCGCTGGAAGCATGGGAAATCATTCCCTTGTTAGAGGCTCTCCTTTTTATAGACTGTTCATTGGTTGACTCCTGCCCTCAGGGGGCCAACAACCCCTGCTCAGGAGGTTTGGTAACTCTCTGAGTTTGCAGAGCCTTTTCTGAGGGTTCCTGTCATGTCCTAGATACTGGCTGACTTTAGAGGGCAAAGGCTAAAACTGTTTGTTAGTTGTCCTCTTACCCCTTTTATCTTTTTTAACTCTGGTCTGTAGGCCTCAGTTGTTGAATTAAAGTGGGACTTAGAGAAAAAAAGGTTTT